CTAATGAAACAGCTATAATATTGAAAACAAACAACTTGAAACAAAATCGGTGTACGGATTCAAATAAATATTTACAATAGATTTTAATGGTCAACTTGTTATCAAATTTTACGACCAATTTTTACATCATTAATTTGTGAGGGATGGTGTGTGATAGACATAAACAAACATTAGCGGTCTATAGCTGTATAATATCTTTGAATATCATTTTAGACCGATTCATTTATATGCTTGGTCATCTTGTAATCATTTAGAATTCAACAGTTTTTAGTAATAGGGTTCGTATCTCTACACTTCTAGATGTAGTATCAAATTTTAGTTGCCATAGACCTGGTTTCATACACACTCTCTTAAGTAAATTTCAAAGGAAACTGTTTTCCCAATTTTTCTTATTGTTAAATAATCCTATGGAATACTGTAGACCCCTGGTATAAAATTGACAGATCAATTTGACACTCTGTAAAGATCGATTATGCCTTTTTATATAATATTGTAGGCCATAGGCCTAATGTGTGTGAAGCACTGACTTTGTTAATATCGAATGGGTAAAATTGCGCACAAACTTCAAATTCTTGTCCTAACATACAATGCCAGAGGAAAGGATATCACGTTTTAGTCACCAAAAAGGATTTTCCACGGACGCACAGAGTAGGCCTTATAGTAGGCCTATGGCCCAAAGTGAACGAGTTTCTGGTCTCGAAAACCCAGACACTTCGTTAAGGCCTATACAGTACAAAATACTGTACAGTTTATAATTCATTGAAAAAGCTTTAAAATGAAGGATATTTTGAGAATCTTGGGTTTTTAAAAGCAATCTTGGGAATTTTTAGACCCACTCTTGGGAATTTTGAATTTCCCTAGTGGTCACGCTGCATTTAGAGACAGAATTGTACCCGACGACATCAAACTAGTGTAGGCCTAGGCTTAACTACAGTAGGACGTACTACTAGGCCTAGGCTTTTGTTGTAAAAGTTGAAGTGCATGTACTAGGATGCTCCATAGGCCTATATTTAAAAAAATACATTTTGTTAATTATTATTGGTTGGCCTGGGACCTAGGCAGACAGGCATTGCCGTCGAAAGTCCTGAGATTCGACGATAACGTCAGTGCACATGTTTACAAACGCCATTGATTGGAATGAAAATAGACGTGCTGAATTTCGTTTGTTTTATGAAAGATAGTATTTATCGAACATTTATCTATATAAAAACAAGATTAATATTGTAGAAATTGTATTTCTAAAGATTCAAATATAATTCATATTTCATTTGGTAGAAAATAAATATTCAGTAAGATAAAAAACGATTAATTCTGAAATGTGCATCAAATATCAGCTATTATTAATCAGTATGTATTAGATTAAAGTCTTAAAATAATAATTTCAAATTAGGCCTAGTAAACAAATAATTGTAATTAAAGTTTAGGTTCCCATGATGTCAGATGACGTATTCAATATGATGCTATATTTTGGGCTCTGACTTAATTTAACGATGGCCCTGTCAGTTGTAGTAGTGACAATATTTGTGCTTTTTTAGCCATGTAGTAAAAATAGTACTATTATTTTCAGTGTACAAGGTGAGAGTCAAGAAGTTCAGCTCCTACTTTATTTTGTAACAGGCAGCTCTATTTGTTTATATAGGCCTACTGGAATATCCATTATTTAAGTTAAAACAAGACAACACTTCTTAAATGTTTTATATATTATAAAGAAGCACAGTACATAATTCTTTGTAAATTACTTTGTAGGCCTTTGTAATAGCTTGTTTTGTTTTATAATAATAAAAGTGTTGAGTATATTGATATTGATTATGCGATGAGGGGTTTTTTTTGTCTTTCGGTGTGATTTAAACATGCTAATTCTCAGAAAATATTTTCCAATTTGTTCATCCCGGGAAGATCATGTTGGACCAACCTTGCATTGCTTCTTTCTACAGCATACAAGGCCTTGAATAGTAAGAAGCAATGTGATGTGATCTACACTGATTTTTCAAGGGCATTTGACTCGGTCCCCCATAATTTTCTTATTTTTAAGATTTCAAAGTTTGGGATATCGGGTAACCTTTTGAAGTGGTTTGCTGATTACTTGACCGATAGACATCAGAGGGTGGTCATAAGTGGAACTTGCTCCGAGTGGCTTCCAGTACTTTCTGGAGTTCCGCAGGGGTCAATTCTTGGCCCGTTGCTTTTTAATTTATATATCAATGATCTCCCTTCTATTTTTAAATTTTCTCAATCACTTTTGTTTGCTGATGACCTAAAACTTTTTAAAATAATATCCTCACTTCAAGATGCTCAATTATTACAAGATGATTTGAAGTCACTTACGAAATGGTCGGAGTCATGGAAGCTTTCCTTAAAAATTAGTAAATGTAAATCTTTGTGTATCTCACTTAAAAGAAAACCTATTTTATTTACATATGAGTTGAATAGTCAGGCACTAGATTCTGTTACTTTTCATAAAGATTTAGGTGTTTTAATTGATAATAAGTTAAATTTTTGTTTACATGTTAATTTTGTTGTGTCAAAATCAAACAAGATGCTTGGTTTATTATGGAGGAATTGCAGGTTTATGAAAATTGGCAAGACATTAGTATCTCTTTACCGTTCAATTGTGCGTCCCATTTGGAATATTGTTCAGTAATTTTTAGTTCAGTTTCTTTTACACAAGCTCAGCGTATTTCTAATGTTCAAAATAAGTTTATTAGGTTTCTTAGTCATACTTGTCCCAATTATAATGTCTCTCTTATGTCTCTTGAAAATCATAGAATTATTTTTGACATGGTATTTTTATATAAGTCTTTAAATTCCATTTATGATTGTCCTCTTGTTTCTATGTTCAGTTTAAACATCCCGACTCGTACCCGCAGTAAGTGTTTACTTCATGTTTCTTACGGTCGTGTTGATTGCACAAAACAGGGTATTTTTCAACGTTTACCGAACGAATTTAATAGACTACTTGATACTTGTTTTAATATTGATATTTTATTATTTTTTAGTCTTAATATTTTTAAAAGCAAAATAGTTAAAATTGTGTAAGTGTATTTTAGTTTATTTCAGTTTTGAAGTTTATAATATATATTTATATGTTTTAGTTGAACCTGTTAGTGGCGGTTTTCATCGCTGTTGGTTTTATACTAAATAAATTTTTTTTAAAATAAAATAACTGTTGCTGATCATTATTTGTTTACAAGATACTTTTAACAGTTCCTGGAATATCTTTGCAGTGTGGGCATAGCCAAATTCTGGGTGTTGTGGTAGACTTTATTTTTAAACAAAGTCTGTGGTACTGTTCTTGCCAAAGTGAACATTCAAGAGGGTTATCCTTTGCCACGTTATCAAATTTACATTGTTTAATACACTTAATTTTAGATGTTCTGGTTGCTTTATTATTAGGCGTACTAGTTGTCTTACTTCCATCATTAATTGTAGCAGAAGTATTACTGTCAGTAGGAATGTCTTCATCGACATTATCATTTCTTCCAAGCTGCTTTTTGCCCTGTGGCGACATTATTGGTATTAATAACTCAGTGCTGGTACATAACAAAGGCCAGGATGTGGGTTGTTCGAGAAGCAAAGCTAGCTTGTTTTAGCCCAGTTCCAAGACAAAAGCCAATCAGTGTAAAGTGTTAAATAGGGCTTAATCCCCTGTACAATTGTATCCAAAGAAAGCTCTGAATCTTTAGTCAAAGCCTAGAATATATTGCTTAAATTCATAAAAACCAGGAACTCAGATCAGATAAATTGTATATATACAAACAATC